ACTTGGTCCTATAAATATGTTTGCAAGTGTTTTCTGTGTTTAGGCCTGCAGGTTAAAAAAATACAGGGAAATACCCTGAGAATCTTAAGTAGATCTTGGGTTACTGAACAATTCGGAGGTATTAAGACACAAAAACATACGCCCAAGCAATGCCAGCCAGCAGCTCAAAGGGGATTTTAGGAAGTTGGTAGCAAGTAAATGTCACTCAGGCACCTAAAAGTAGCAAATGGGTACCTGGTTTTACTGGTTTAGCCCCAAGTGCCTATCATGCTAGTCAAGTAATGGCTGGCATGGCCACACGGGGAAGCTACTGTGCTATGAGCAAGGCAGCATGAGTTGTGTCCTAACTATTGCCAAGGGCCTGCCATATGACTTGCTGGTATTTTATACTTGCTGGTATTTTATTTCTCCTTCCAAAACAGAAAAAGGGGGAGATTTCTGGACTTTAATCATGTTTCCTTCTCAAGTTGCTCTAGGTATAGTTTGTCATCCCAAGATAAACTGCAAAACCTTGCTTGCCACTGGGGAGAGAGAGAGAAAATTCATTTGAACAGGCGTAGTTTGTGTGTGCATCTGCTGTATGCAACTTTGTCCTGTGTTCATAATAGAATTGTGTGGTATAAGGGTTTTTCAAGCAGCTAGCACCATTTTTATGAAAACACATTAAATACATTGCTTGTTTTAAAACCCATTCTCTGGCTGATCTCTAGGAGAGAATGCAGCAATTCTCCCTGTGTGCTCATGCTGTTTAGCTTTTGCTAAACATGAGGAAAGCAGATTATGGCTTTTAAGAGCTAAGCTTTGGCTTTTCTGCAGGTCTGTGTGAGGGGTGACATGTTGCTTTGGTGCCTTGAGGACAAAGATGTTTAGCTTAGAAGCATGCCTAAATAGGTTTAATACACAAGTTTCAATAGTCATAAAGGTAGCTGGTTTAGTTCAGTTTAAGCCTAGCAAAAATAACACGTACAAACCAGAAGCAAAAGAGGCCATGCAGCCTTTTGTACTTACTTAAGTGCAATGGTTTAAATTAAATTAGTGCAACCTTTTTTTAATGCAGGCAATGTCTGAGTTAAATGCTGCTACCAGCTGGAGAAGGAAAATTGTCAGTATCAGTACCTTACAAGTGGCATGGCTTACTTTATCAGTAATGCAGTAATGGAAGGATTGGGGATTAGAAGTTCCAGAGAGGCTGCGCTTCCTCCCACAATTGTTCTCTGTAATAGAGGAAGGGGGTAAACCCAGACTGATTTTGTCCAGATGGACTTGGAACATTGTACAGTGAGAAGCTACAATAAGCAGTTTAACACTCATTAATTGGAAGGTGTTTATAAGAACTCCCTTCTCAAATTTAACTCTGAAGTAACCAGAAGCCTACAAGTTCTCATACATTTATTTACTACTAGAATTCCTATTACAGATCACTGTCTTGTAAAACCACTTCTGGAAGAACAGTCAGCAGACCACTCTCCTGAGAGTTAACGGTTATTCACTACCAGTTTGAAAACAAGTCCATACCAGAGCATTCCCTTTCTTTTCTGGCATCCAAGCTTTCTTCTTTAATGTGTATGAGCTATTGCACACGGTAATGTTAGGATAAACCAGCATAACACAAGCCACAGGGCTCTGCACGCTAAGGGAGCATGCACAATACTTAGTCAGCACACATAACCTCATCAGCTTTTAATACAGTTTCCAAAGGGCATTTAATTTCTAGTGTAATCCTACACAGTTCCTGTTTAAGTAAGTGGAACACATACATTGAAGTCAACCTGTAATTTCTAGTGCTGATAGTTCCAGCAGGGTTGTTGAGCTGCATTTATGTAGACGTTGAAAGAAAGCAGTGACATAGAACATGCACTATTCCTGTGGTCTTCGCTTTCCCTGACATAACAGAATTCACACTTTTTTCAAGGAAGTATTCTGAGTTCCAAACAGATATGTCGCTAAGCCTTAATTGTCTCCTATTCTTAAAATAGAAACCAGCAGAAACTAGTGTTGTGGTGCTTTTTTCTTTAATGGATCAGTCGAATCTCTAGCCTGCAGCCATTGTTAAACTGCTAATAAGAAAGTGCAATATAAGTTAGCCAGCAATTTTTCAGATAAAGTAATTCAACAGTTCCTTTTTTAAAGGCACTTGGTACTGCCTTTGGTGGGGAAAGCTACATTCTCAGAAATATTTCCATAGTATTTATTTTTGTATTTACCTTTGGGTTAGCATAATATATACCTTATCAAGGGTGGCTTTTCTATTTTAGAGAGAAAACATAAGTAGACCATAAACTTGTATTATCATATAATTAGAAAAGATAGTTTGTGTGCATGTAAGGTGTGTATTTGCTTAACCTCATCTAGTGTAAACAGTTTTCCAGTACAAGTTTTGGGGGTTTTGTAACTAGTTTACATTCCCATAATGCATATCCCAAGATTTCCTTAGCATGTGCAAAGGATGACAAATATCAGTACTTCATACAACTATATTTAATAAGTTATTACAGAAAAAAATAAAGTCCAAACTACAAAGTTTAAGCAGTTGTAAGCAATAGCAGCATTGAGCTCCATGTTTAGTCACAGTACTGCAGTTCCGTACAAGCATTAGTCCAAGCCAAAAAGGAAGAAGCCTTGTTAGAATTACTAGCAAAAACAATCTAAGAGAACATGTAATAAAAGATACAGTACATTTAAAATTAGTTGAAAAACAAGTACAGAGATCTTAGCTGTGAATGCTCTAAAAGTTATGTCCATTATTTTGACAGTAAAATTACAAATATCTAATACTTTATACCCCAACAGAACAGAACTACGTCCAGGAAAAAAAAAAAAAAAAGAGCCCAAATTATCTTTTATTAGCACCCTGGTTTTCTACTTACTGCTAAACTTTTTCTCATGTGAATTTGAGTGTGTCAGAATTATGTGACCAATGTGATTTCTGACCAGCTACCCATTTGGGGTATAGAGTAGTCACTAACATGAATATAAAATACTCTGTGGTATGATAGAACACTATAGCAGCAGAGATTAAGAAGTTTGGTTTAAAGAAAAAAAGGAAGGAAAAGAAAAAGGGTTTAGCTGACATCATACAAACTAGCATAAAGCAACTACATACAAGCCAGATTAAACAGAAGAGACATTTCTACAAATCTGTGACTAATCTTTCACTCATACCTTGCAAGTAGAGATGTCACAATACTGAAATATTAACATGGGAGCTTTTCCCAGTTAAGCGCCTTTTTTTTTTTTCTTATTTTTTTTTTTTACTACTCTAACAGATAGTGAAATCAGCAAAGTTATTTGCTAACTGCATATTTGCAATACAATTTGTTTTAGCCCATGCCTTGCTAGCAGGCTATAAAATACAAGCATGTAGGCAGAAATATAAGCATAAACTTTGTACCACTTAGCAGGAATTTTTTTATTCCCTCTTCATTCCTTGATCTCCTTTGTTTGCAATTTGCATACATTCCAACCAGTAGTACCTAATTTGAGTCTAAATTTTACTTCACTATTTGATCTAGTCTATACATTACTTACAGAACTGAACACACAGAGGATACACAATAGACCAACTCTGGACACATCTTTCTGCAGGTTACAGATGAGCCACTCTAACACTCTAGCATAAGTTAGTCTAAAAGGTCATCAGTAACTTGTTGAAGTAATTGTTTTGTCTAGAGAAAGTCATTGTATGCCCTGTTTACGCAACACCAGTTTTAGTCTGGATTGTTTCAAGTGCCAGAACAGAGAGTCACTGGCTTCAGGAAGGGGTTTCTTCTGGCTGCATAGGGAAACAAAAGTGATGTAAATGGAGGTGAAGTGAAAGGTGATCTGATATTGGCACTTGGTGTTGCCAATATAAAAGAAAAAAAGGACAAAGACAGAAGAGAGGCAGAGAATAACAGAGAAAGACAAAGAAGCTGACCAGATGTTCAGACATGGTGGCAATATAGGTTACTGCATTGCTACCAGGAAATGGACATACATTATTTTGGATTAACTAGGCAGCTACCAACACTATGTGGTAATTTCATTAGAAAATGATGTGGGTACCTACAGTCTGCTCCATGCTGCCACTGATAAATGTATGCAGGAAGGAAGTTGTGCAGGAAAGGGTCAATTTAATTAAATAAATAACATGGTGGCAAAATACAATGAAGAATATATATTTTAGGAGGTTCAATATAAGACTATTGAAAAGAGTTTGAGTTCATGACGAGAAAAGTAATGGAGGATTATGCTGAATGGGCAGGGTCAAAAACCCATTGTTTCAATAGATTTAGTTCCTTATAACGGCAATAGTATTTCATCAACACTGGTGGTGTATAAATCTAGACAGCGAACTGGTACTGTGACATCCCTATTATCTCCCTAAATCATTTTGATAAAGGAAAAGGCTTTTCAAAATATCACATTTTTTCTGCTTCATTCTGTCATTTTATTGCCCAATTCTTTGTTACAATTTTCCAATCACTTTACATAACCAACCATTTTCATCATTGCCACACTATTGTAAACCACATCAGCAAGTTAATACATAAAGCTTTGCATTTCAAAAAACTAGACACTTTAGTAACAATATTACAAAGATTTTAGCTTCAAAAATAACTGAAAATGAAAAAAATAAACTTTTAAAGAATTAGCATCATAAAATTAATTTATTCCAAGTAAAAATACAAAATAATATTAATGACATTGACCAGATATGAAAGTCTCTCCCAGAAACAACTATATTAATGGTTGAGAAAGCACTCCTTAAAGAAAATACGAAATAAAAATGAAAAATATGTAAATATGTTTAATTTTTTTCTTAGCAAAAAATCTTTCTAAAAATAACAATGAAAATTTGTCTCAGTACAAAGGCTACATTACTATTGAAAAAATACCAGCATGAAGAAAAGGTACATATTTGACAGTAGAAAAATGATTTTAGTGAATCACAATGTCTAAAGTCTGCAATGAAAATAAATCTGCAATAAAGATTTATGCCTTTTTTCTTTTCATTTTTCTTTTTTTTTATACAAACAGTACAAACAGTATTGCACATAACAACAAATAGTCGAGGTTAGGTTAGCCTTCAAAAAAATCGACTAGTTCAAGTCTCACATCAGAAAAGGCCACAATAGGACCTGTTGTACCCAGGGGCTTCTTAGTCAAGTTGCAGTTCAGAACTCCATATTTTAAAAAATAACTTTTTTTGAAGGACCCTCTTTTAATATAACATATTAACAACTCAGGGGCACATTCATTTACAAAACAAAAGGGAGCATGTCATAATTTAATAAACTAAAAAAAGTTCTCTTTAAAAAAATACAAACAGAAGAACTCTCACAATTCTGGTCAGTCGTGCGTAATCACACTTGATTATAAATATACAAATTAAGGGAAAATATTTTTTCACCTTCTATTCACAACTTTCAGCACCAAATGGAGTTTGTGTTTACACCTGTTCTTTATGATGATTTTGTTTTAGATTTAATCCAACATTATGCTATTTTGCACATTTTCCAGCTTCTCTCTCTCTCTCTCTCTCTGGGGGTATTTTTCTACATGAAAGAGGGGTATTTCTTCAAAAAGGTTTACTTCTTTCACATAATTAGGTAGATTTCTGTAGGTTAGCTATGATCTTTAATATTACAGTTATAAAGCTCTAACTTCTTCATTTTCAAAAAAACTCAAATAAGCATGAAAAAAATAAAGTTACCCATCTGTTAAATCATTTTTCTTGCAGAATTAAATTAATATATATTTTTCTGAATAAACTTACTTAGAAAATATCATTTTCTTTCCTATATTTCAAAATTGAGGTATTGCAAAAGATCATGTCAGTCAGAAAGCATGCCTTTTTCTTTAAAAAAAATCATCAGCCGACTGTTGAAAACTGTCTAGATACAAAAAGTAGTGCATAACAAAATGTCTTGTACAGATGAAAAAAAACAGAAAAGACACCTGGGCTGGGAAAAGCAATATCACAAAAACGCCCAGAAGTAACTTCAAAAGGGATAATTATAATTAGCATTTTAAACCAGTAAAAAACTATTTTTTCTTTTTTTTTTTTTTCCAAAAACAGAAAAAAATCCTTTCAAAGCCAATACTCGCAACTAAACATTGGGAAAAACAACTTACTAAATTAGACACAAACAAGGACATCACAACAAACAAAACCCAGAACATTTAAATCTACTATGCGGTGTCATATCCAGTCAGATTGTCCCCAGAACTGCAAAAACAAAGGAGGAAAAGAAAAAATAGTGTACACATTCTCACAATCATTAGTATACCAAGTGTGTTTATATGCTATCTGCAGCCCCATAGTTCATGCTAAAAAAATGTCCACTGTGTTAGCAGGTCTTAATTGTATTCAAGCTTCACAGGATACATCCAGGGATTAGAGAGATAACACCACATCCACAGAGCAGACATCTCATGTTACTTTAATATGCAGACATTTCTTTAGCACCACTTTTTTTCCTAACTTTCTTAAATGTGCCTAGTTTATTAGTTTGACAGACTATCTAATCGGTAGTGTATGTACGCTAGCATGAGCTCTTTGGTTTTCTGGACAAGGTCTGCAGCTACGTAAATGATGCAAGCATTAGGAGAGAGATTGTAACTAAGAGCTCATTTCTGTTTATGTACCTGTTATGAACTGTCAAAAATGTGTTAATGTTGGATACAGAGGCTTTAACAGTTAAGTTTGATCACAGTACTAGACATAATCACTTTACTATATAAAATAAATTGCACGATATATAACAGAGCACCGCAAAGTACTTCATCTACCATCCACAAATTTGTTTTAAGAATATCCTACAGCTAGTTTTTATATTTGTTGTAGTATAGGTCATTCTGTAATGGGCTGATCCTAATTTCAGAAGCATTACATTTATTGAGGCATGCCTTCCTCCAGTCAGTAATCATTTTTTTTTTTGTTACTGAGTATTTTGTAGCCTACGTAGGTTCATAATTTGTGCATTGTGGGCAGGTTTTATATTAGACATATATAAAATTTATTGCATGCAGCAACCTGATTAAGTAAACATGCAGTCAAAAAATATTGACCTTCCTTGGAAGCTTTTCTGTATGCTATACTGATCTCCTTTCAGCAGCCATCACTATTTTAATCACATATTCATTTTTTAATTGATACCCTAGCCTGAATAGAGTATTATGGTATTAGTAATACCATTTTAATAGCAGCAAAAGCTATTGCAGCATACATTTACATAACACTAAAAGACCTAAAAAAAAACAAACCACAAAACAAAACAAACAAAAAAAAACCCTCAGCAAAACAAAAGAAAAAAGTCTGATCCAGCTTATGAGGTATCATCCTTACAAGTCAAAATGGAGAGCAACTAAAGGCTTATTTTCTTTAAGGGTTATTACTACTCTAAATGACCCAAACTAATGATTGCTGAATATCTGTTTTAAGTTTTTGCTACATCTGCCACCTACTTGTGAATATTACCTTTGGTAAGTCATCTGCTAGGGGCAAGTCTAAATTTCTGAAAATAAGTGCATGCTCCAGTTTAAAAATAAAAATAATTATAATAAAAAAATCTTCATCACATACACATCAACCCAGTGAAGGCTGATTAAGAATGGCAGTCTACATAATGTCACTAGTGACAAGTCTTGTGTAGGAAATTAAGGTACCAAGCAGATGTTTGTGTGAATCAAAGTGCAAAATCAGTACAGTTACACTCTGCCGGTTTGTATTATACTGGACACTGAGTTCAGTAATGTGACTGTAAATAATAATAATAATAGTAATAAAAAGACCCATATCTTCATTAAAGTCGAGGACGAATGCACAGATTTCCAGAACACTAAGCCCTGAGGCAGCGCTCTCTTTTCACTCGATTTTATCTACTCCAGTACTTGTTGCTGGGTGAGGCCTGGGGTTCAGCTCCAGCGGAATGGGACGTGGCGGGGCCGGTCACCTCCCTCCTTTACCAGTGGTTTGTGGAACTCTCGCCCAGCACGAGAGTGTATGCTTGCCCAGCAGTATTCACAGTAATACTGCAAACAGGTAACATTGGCACAAAAGAATGGAGCAAATTTTCCACCACAGCGAGTGCCCTGGCATTCATCACACATCTGATCATCCAGCACATATGGCTTCACTTCCACCTGCACCAGGAAAAAGAAAAATAACTGTAAGGAGATAAAATAGTTTTTCTAAGTATGAATAGAAGGAACAATATTTTAATTCTTTTGACTCTACTGAAGGTTTTCAACTGATGCTGGATTAACCCAAAGCGGTTGGTAGTTAAATTTTCATACCAACCACTTTACTTGTTAGAAAATCTCAAGAAAGAAGGGTGTGCTTTGGTAACTAGTCAATGTTTCTTGGAAGAGTTAGGTATGTGAAAGTACCAAGATGGAAGTACAGTAAAAATAGCATCCCTAAGGATTCTGCTGCTGTCTAAGAAACCTCCAGGAATGTGAATACAGTTGTTACAGGGGCAGGGTGCGAGAGTGCAGCATTTAGGAAGAAAAATGATAAAGAACAAAATTATATTTCTAAACTTCAAAGGTCTGGTGAGTTTCAGAGGTTTCCAGAGAGGTTTTTTTGTTTCTTTGTTTTTTGTGAACTGCAAAATGCAGGACCAGACTAATAAAGGAAGAGAAGATTCAAATTAAACAAGATTAAATGCACTTGTATTAATTAAATACTCTGCCTTATGCTAGAAAAAAATCACTATCTCAAGATTTTTAGCTCTAGAAATGTAGTAAGATTTCATAGTTGTTCCAGCTATAGCCTTGCCATCAATTACAAATAGGCTGGAGAGCTGCTGACTTTTATCCTACACTCAGTTGTAAACATCTTAGGACTGGAATTCTTTTTGCTTTTAAAGCACTTGCACCAAACACAAGTTGATGCATGACCAGGCACTTGCAATGATACTATTACAGAAGTTGACAACATGTGAGTTCCCTCCTCTGTGTCTGTTCCTAAGAATCAAGCCTACACATTTAAATTGAATGTTTATTCATTCTGGGGAAATCATTAGCTTATGCATGTGTAATTCTTATGGCTCTATAATGCTATTTATAAAGTGGTTAAGTACAGTCAACTACATTAAAAGAGATAGAAAAAAATTGAAATATACATACTTATAAATAATTTTGCTGTAACTACACAAGTGCTAGTCTGGCAAAATTTGTATATTGCAAGGAAAACTTGACTCCTGTAACTACACTTAAATACATGCAGTATTAAAGAAACACAGAATGAGATATTAAGTTGAAAAATGAGAAATATATTATGCAAAAAAGCTTTATGCTGAATTTTACTTCAGCTTATCCTGATCACGTTTCAATAAATGTTAGTCATTTGAAGTAAAGCTTATCTAGTGAATTATATTTCTAGCCTATGGAACAGCTAGAACTGCCAATTTTATTTATTTATTTTTAAACTACACTGTACTACTAGTATGGCATGGAACAAGTCTGAATAACTGCCATTTTGCTTATCAGATGCCCTACCACTAAAATTAGAACTATCATGTAAAATAAAACGGCACTGTCTCAAATTAAATTGGAAAAAAGCAGGTCCAATATCCAGCACATCTCTAGATCCCCACCTGCTCACATTTCCAAAGCATGAATTGTAAAGGTCTGAAGTAGATTCTCTCTCTCTCACTCCTTTTCTTGTTTTGGTTAATAGTGAAATAATTTTAAGGATGTATGATGTACAATTCAGGGACTTCAATCTATTAGAATTAAAAACTAATATTTAAGGACTGATTAAGAGCCTTCATACTTTTACAAACTCACAGATAAACCTATTTTAAAAACAGATAAAAGATAATTAAATAAACTTAAATTATCTCTCAACCAACTGGGAAAAGTACTGATTGATGGAAAAAACTATCAGCTAGCATAATTTGTGACTGTATCCTAAAGCTTAGAAAAAAACCCAAGTTTTTAAACATGGCTGATATATAAATCTCAACAGGTTCAACACTATGATTAAGACTCCAGAATTAATCTTCTTAGCCTCTCTGTAAAATTTTTCAGAAATGGACAAGAAATACTTAGGAACAGCCTTGTCTTAGTTAAAATTATGAGGTATAGTAGCACCACAGAGAAATGGTTTGAGGATTTACAACTCCATGACCTCGTCTAATCTGACCAAAAGTTCAGTTTAGGTTTTTAAAGAAAAAGTAAAAATAGCTTAGACTTTGCAGCTGCGTGTTTTTATATGTATACTGCACATAATAGACACATCCAATACCTCTCAAGCTGACTTCTTAAGAAACAATTTATATTAGATAAAGCACAAAACAAGTCATCCCTATTGTAAAAATACATAGCAGCAGTGCATGCTGTATGTTCTTTTGAATAATTCTAGATGCCAGGTCCTCAAAAACATAGGGTTTATTTTTACATGTAATCAAGAGGTGAAGACAGAAGGTCTAAAGGAAGAAAAAAAAAGTCTTGGAAATTAAGTAATGTTTTCTTTTAATGTCTCCAACTTAGATTTCAGTAAATACCTTAACTTCACTCTATACTTGAAAAGCCCTTTAGAAACGAGGATTTCATATGTACTGAACATTTTCCCCCCCTTTTGCTTATCAAGCATCTATTGGCGTTTGGTTTTGGTTAAATAATTCTCAAGACTTTCGAGGTCAGCATTACCTATTATAATAAGCCTGTGTTTTAGGAACCTCAAGTCTAGACGTACATTGCTGAGAGAATATGTTGCCTAATAGCAGAAATGCCAGAAGCTATATAAGTAGCCACTAACTAAAAGCTGCTGATGCACAAGGAGCAAACCACGACAAAAGGAGGAGAAAGAAGCTGGGAAATTCTATGGTGTTTGACCTTCAGAATTCAAACCAAAACCAAGAACAAGTGAGCTTACAACTAAATATTTTCTGGTTTTAGTGCTTAACAGTTATCTAAGATGTTTAAGATATATTTTTTCACTCTGCTTTAGCTGCTTAAATAAGCCTTTAAATAATTAACCAATGTCATCTGAAGAACAGAGGTTACAGTGTTCTCCAACACAATATTAATATAAGGATGTTTTTCATTTCTGTACAGTTTTGTGAGTAACAACCATTCTGTTCCATGCTATTTTACTTACCCGTTTATCAATGTCATTATGTTGGAGCTGGACAAAGCGAGCACTGATAGCAGCAATATAGCTCTGCTGATTGGAGAAGGCCACTCTGCCAGCACCTTTTGGATACTTCAACTCTGGGTCTGTATCAATGCCAGCATAGCAGACACCTCCATATAAACGGTCCATAATCATTGCCAATTCAACTGCAAGAATTCAATTGTTAAATATTATAGATTTAACATAAACAATAGTGTTGTGTTTCGTTTGTTCCATTAAAAAAAGCACACTTGTCTTCCAAAGTCTAAAACAGTAAACCCAAACATTGCTTTTAACAGATTGAATCAACCCTACATAAATTACCGTAAAACATAAAGGCAAAAACCAGAATCTGTAAAAAGAAACTTGGTGTGACTGAAGCGTGAAAAAAAAATGCAGAGTTACATTGTTAAAGTAGGTATCAGGTCAACTGTTTTAGAATTTATCATATTGTAAATTAAAACTCTGGTATTTGGGATTAGGTATTCAGGATCTCCCCAAGCTCCAGCCAGGCTTGTTACTGCTAGTTTACATATAAGATCACTTAAAGGTATTCCTGTATTTAGAATCTGGTATTTTGCCCTAATTACTAAGGTTGAAAAGACATTAAGGAAGTGTTTTACATTTGAAACAAAACTTTGTGAATCATGATAAGTTACTACACTTAAATCAAGCCTACATTTTGGGTGCAACTTAACAGTATTTTTGTAGAACATTAACTTGATTTTGGATCTTTCAAAGTGGTTTTTGCTTTTTCTGACACTAAGGATAACTCTAAAGAAGTTATAAATATCATTCATAAAATAAGACAGGCTGAGTGCATGGCTGAAGAAACATACAGGAGGAAAGTTAAGGGAAAGAACTGAAGGAAGTAGAAAAGAGACATGTAAACTGTGCAAAGATGTATGGTCATCAAGCCAAGCTCTCTTTAAAAGTTGATAGGCAAACAAATTTGTCAGATGGGTGAGGGACAAACCCTCACAAAGCAAGATAATGGGACCTGTACAGGCTGTGCCAAGTCAGCCATTTTTTTTATGCTAATGTGTGAAAACACTTCCAGTAGCAAGTTGAAATTTAGCCATCCAAGATAAAATGAAAGAGATATACAAAATATTTAAATCCTTATAGTTCTCATAAAATTTTCACTAGTTAATTATACAGAGAGTAGAGACAATTTTTAAATTGAATATGTATGTGTATTTGTATAAATGTGTGCGTCACATTAAGGGAAGACCATATGCTAATTTGTCCATTTGCAATGAGCAAAACTTATTCTACCAAACCAGATAATACTCTTGCTCCAAACAGTAAGGGGAAACTATCAGCATAATGTAGTGACTAGTAGATTCTTCTGGTTTCTAATGATTTGGAATCATGATTTGGGTCATGATCTCTGAAAGTGACAGTACGGAACAAACGTCAGGAACACTTAAAAACATTTACAATAGTAGTTCCAGTAAGCTACTCTTGCCAAAGAGTAGACAAAGAATATACAGGATTCCAGGACAAGGAAACCATGCAGTGTTCAGACATCTTAGTAAAAACTTCTGTATCAGATCTCTAAAGTTGCAAACGAGAAAAACTGGAAACTATTTGTCTGCTTTGGAGAAGTTAACTATTTAAAGGCATCAGTTTTCAAATGTAATGCATGTCAAATGTAATCTATGACAGGCCAGATGACATACAGTTTTATAAAGGCTATAATTAGAAATCAGATAATGTTTAATTGTTGCTATTTACATAATTACCATCTTATAATTATGCCTTATTTTAAAATGGTGAGGAAAGTGAAAGCTGCCAAGAAACCTGGGCTGGGAGAAATCTTACTGTCAGCAATGGCTGGGGGACCTTGGGTACAGCTTCCCAAAAGAATTAGGATTAGGAGAAAGATAAAGCGAGGAGCTGAAGTTGCAGTGGGCTGGAAAGTGGCTGCCAAAGGAAAGTAAGGGCTACCAGGAAACCTGATCCAGAAGTCTTTCTTCCAGACAATGACTGAGCGGTCTTGTCTACTACAGCCCTGGAAAATTAGGATTAGGGTTGAGAGGATGAAAAAGAAAAACCATGCAGCTGACTTGGAGTGAAGATGGAGAGGGACTACTGAACAGAAGCAAGGGCTGCCAAAAGACCTAGCTAGGAGAAATGTTGCAATTTGCTTTGTGACCTTGTCATTGGCTCACCAAAAATACAAGGGTTTGGAAGAAAGAAAAGAGTGTTGAGCTACAGTTGGGAGCTGTGCTAAAAAGGGGCCTTCAAAACAAAGTGGTGGCTGCCAGGAGATGTGGGCTGGGATAAATCTTTCTTCTGGCCAAAGGCTAAGGAGTCTTGTCTATGGCTCTGCAAATAAAAGTGAAGAAAAAGAGTTAAGGGTGAAGCTACATTAGGAGTGGGTCTGGAAAGTGGTCTTCAGTACAGAGTGGGGCCATCAGGAGACCTGGGCTGGGAAAAATTTTTTCTCTGGACAATGGCTGAGAGGCCTTGTCTACCGCTCCATGGAAAAATTAGGGTTAGGATTGAGAAAAAGGGAAAGAGAAGTCATAGAGATGTAGTTGGAACTGGTTTGGAAAGGGGCTGGGAAAAGTTTGTCTTCTAGTCAAAGGAAAGGGGAACTTGTCTGCATCTCAGCAAGCAAATCAGGGTTAGGATTAAGATGGTATACATTACAAAAAATCAGCCAAGTTCTAGGATATTATGCAAACTTGGGGAAAACTGTTTCTACTGAAAATCCTAATTAGTAACCTATTTAAAAGATATAAAATGTTCACAGTTTGTATTTTGTAGACAGGAAGACACTGACTTAGAAAGTGGGCTATGATCTTTGCAAAAGAGTGGGTATATTTTCTGTTCTTTTACATATAGTATATATCTTTTCTCATCTTTTCTGCTTAATCTGGAACCCCCTGCTACATGGCCTACATTTTCCTTCTACTCACCAGCTCGGAGGGGCCGTGGAACTCCTCCAACAAAGATAGTTTTTCTTGGATCCAAAGGCTGAGACCCATCCATCACAAAGTCACTGTCACTTAGGTTCCAAGGTCGAATTTGCACCTGTATTAAGGATTGTTTTTAGTAGATGAACTTGACAACTCAATTAAAATTAAGAAACAACTGCCAAATCTTTCTATAATTAAGAATATAATTTTAACTTAGCAAAAGCAGTAAATCGGTAGTATAAGCACCAAAACATTTGAGAACATAGCTTATCTAAGGTGTTTCAAAGAAGGTGGACAATTCATTTATCACCTCTAGAGGCCAGGCTTGAGTTAAATTTCATCATAGCAAACTCCTATCTCATTAATTACCTGCCCCTAATGGCCATTTTAATAAGAAATCTGTGAAAGGACTTTCAGAACATTTTACCAGGTATGTGCAATTACAGCTGCAGTTTGGGCTTCTGGCTTTTCTGAAATCACATACAGTGATCCAAATTTTAAAGCATCGATAGGAGTGGGCATAAAATCAATTTCTGTGCTTGGATAACAAAATGATCTTTTTATAATGTGTGAATGGTCACTTCTGTTAAGCAGCAAGCAACACAGCTGATAAGAAATCTTTAGATTACACAGAAAAAAAACCTGCTCAGAAGTTATTTGGATAAAGCTGTTCATCCATCCATTTTTTTTGATCCTAGAAATCACATAAGCACACTCACTGTGCTGTAATATTTGGTTGTTCATTTATCTGTGCAAGCTTTTTAATAGTGTTTTTAAGAGGCAGCATGTTTTTAATCCTATCATATTCATCTGTGGTTTTCATCCAATTTGTATGTATCCATAGCCGCAAAAAGAATAGCATTGAAGAATTCTAGAGATGTGAACAATAGAAACAGGTTACCATGTGTCTTCTATTCTGCTGTAGCTGTCTGCATTACTTGTTTTTACCCTGCAGTTTATATAAGGTAAATGAGATCTAAATTATAAATTGATTAGCTATTGCATGCAGAAAAAATAATGATAAAGAAACCTAATGAAGTACAGGAGATATTTGAAGCTATCTGGATTTTAACTGGGTGTTAAGTTTCTTCATTTCATTGCATAAGGCTTTCTTTTCTTTCAAATAATATAGAGGGAAAAATTATAATCTGATTGTTTTACAGCTAACATTGTAAAAGGATGCATACTCCTGCAACATACCAGAAGTACCAAATATAAAAGTTAATTGAACATGGCATTTATCTGAAAGAAGCAAATGTTAAAACCATGTTACGCTGATACAGAAGTCAATTCAATGTAACAGCAAGGACAGCAACAGGAAATGGACAAGTCAATTAACTGTAAGTATTTCTTTATTTATTTATTAACTGAAAAGAGTAACAGCAAATGGGTTAGCAACCAGCGTAAGTGTCGTGGCATAAGCTACTTACTGGTTTATCCTTGATTGTGGGACTTGACACACACAGGTAAAGTTTCCCGTCTTCTTCCAGACAGGCATCTATCAGAGCTTGTACAGAGCTTTCTTCCTGGAACAGCAGAAAGGCATAACCTTGGAAGCAATAAAGGCATAAGAAAGAAAAAGAACAGATTAATTTATAAAGCATTTTTTTTTAATAAAGAAAACAAACCCAAGAAGTGAGATATACAAATGACAAATAACTGTCAAGGCTGTGAGTTTGTTTTCATAAATTAAATTCACTGAATAGATCATACCCTCATAGAGTATTGATTTCAGAATGGAGATGAGAGTGTGTGCTGCATATGGGTATGTTTATTTGATTAATTAATGATTTTGAGCAGTGAGAATATAGACTGGTGAATAAGGGGTTATTATCCAACAACTGTATCTGAGCTATTTATCAGTGGTATCTGTTGGTATCAGTGATTATCATCTTACAATGGAGGTACTGAGTTTCTAGTTACTATATACAATGAATAAATATTAGAAGAAAGGGTCAAAAAAGTGGATAGTTAAACAAATAGAATTCTGTGCTCACATACTTTACTACGAAAAAAATGCTCACATAAAAACAATAAGCACAAGCAAAAAAGAAAGGCATGCGTTGTGTTTTATTACGAGTCAAAGACCCGCTCTTGTTATTTATATTTAAATAAAGCAGTTCAAAAGAAATTAAGTCCAATAAAAATTGCTCCAAGTAATTCACAATTTTAGGACTTTAAATTAGCCAGTAAAACTAAGTGTGTGTGGCATTCAGTGGTCTTATGAAAGCAGCTAGCAAGAAAGCTTTCTTCAGTTTTACTTAATGTTGTTAAATTTGAATGAAGATTTGACCCAAGCAGTCCATGCTTTTGCTACCTCAGAAGTGAAACTAATACAGCACATTCTACAGCAAGCAAAGGCATCTAAAGGCTGCTGCTAGACTTGAATACAGCTGCCCAGTTAAGAGGACTTTCTATCAAGCATGCATTGCTCTTTTGCTCCATCAGTACAACTCCGTTTTCTCACTGAATGTGAACATGTTGGCTTTGACCTTTATAATTTCGCACTTGTGTGTCTTACAGGCTACCACTTTTCAGAAAATCAGCAGCAATCAGAGGCAGCTGGAGTTTAAGCAGGGACTGCTAGAGTTTCTCTGCCTAAGACTGTTGACACAAACTAAGTGCCTACACGATGATACACCATATTTAAATTATGACAACCTCTGATACAGCTTTACACAGTCTATTTGCTATTAATATAGTAGTGACTTACCCTAATTTTGCACTGAGTATTGAGTGAATACTATTTGGTATGTCCTTTTTAGATAAATACTACACAACTCTGATTTATAAAAAAATTTAAGACACTGAAAAAGTGTTTTCCTCTGTAGAGTTATTACGTACCAAATTACCTCTTATCCTACTATCTCTAGTCCTGTGCGACTTCTCAAAGAATATTAAATTCTATGCAGCTGTTCATTTTCAGAGGTGAAAAAAAGTTTGCATTAACAACATAGTTACAGCCCAGAACACATCTAGACAGACTGACTTGCCCAAGAAGACAAAATAGTTTGATCATCACTCTTGCTAGCAAACAAGGAACTTGCATACCTAAAGTTGGAGTAGATTAAAGATACCAGTCCCACTAAAAAGTGAAATACTTCTTGAGTAAAACCACTGGTTTCCTCTCTAGCAGATGTAATTCTCTTAAAACAGTCCCCTAAAGATATAAACACACTTCAACATTTTCATTTTAGACTTTACAAAACTAATTACATTAACTGAGCACGAAAGTAATTAGCTTGCAATCACTATCACTTTTAGCTCAATTTTATTTTCCATCCATGCACTTGTTTTATCTTCCTTACTCCATACCGTCCCTTCTGATTATATTCAATAACCAGAGCAAAAAGTTCAGACAAACTAAAGTATTTTTAGTTTAGCAGTGCTCTCAGCCTTATAAAAAGCCCCAGTCAAAGAACTAGATACTTGGAAAAGAATACCATGGCAACTACACCTCCAAAGCCAACTGATCACACTTTATGGTTCAGCCCAATCCTTGCCTTATATTTTGTATAAATGCCTTGTGAGGCAAATTCACAGAAGATGCAGTGCAGATCATTCCAGTACTCTGAAATCCAAATAAGAATACATGTATATTTATGCATACTTTAAAAGAATGGTTTACAATGTATTTAAATAGACTTAAACATTTAGGATTTATCTTTTGACCAGAGCATAAGATCTCAACTCTAAAAAATTGTCTATGTCAGACTTTTATAATTTTAAACCAGTAAAATATTGGAAATTACCTTAGCATAAAGTCAAAATGAAAATTTGAAAATGTTTATTGTGGCTTAATTACTTAGCAAAAATCTGGGCAACAGCTTGGGATACTTCCTTCTTATGTGAAACTTTTTCAGGTTTTTCTGGGTCACAGTAAGAGGTTACATCTGTGGTAGTTGGAGTTGACAGCCATTTTGGGTACAGTAAATGGAATAATTATAATTTCCCAAACCAGTTAAAATTAACCAGACACTTGTTAATTTTCTCTGGCTGCTAGATTACCAGAGCAGTCCAAGTTAGTAAGAATTCAGTTTTCTAATCTGGGGCTAGCACCTGCCATGAAATTTAGTAAGTTAACACCTCCTCCTTTCTCTAGACTTCTGTGACTGTAACATATTCTCCTGCCTGCTACAGAGTCTGTATGGGCCCTCTGAAGAAAGACAGGTAAACAGTTTACAGTAGCAGTCTTCTGTTAATCTAGAAAAGTAAGCGGGCTGGACTAGCATGACACAATGTCCAGCATTACTTCAAAACCTGGTGATTGAACATTTATTCTAATTATTCAGGAACTTTTGATATTCAAGATTAACACAGATTACACTGAAATGAAAAGTAACTAAATAACAGAAGTTCAGATAATGTAAGGATCATGTAGAAGCTGATTTGGACAAGGAAGATACTTGCCAAAGTTAAAGGTATTTTTACTCATTTTGTAGAAGCACATAGGGATGCAAAAACCCTAAATTCAGAAAGGTGCAGCTCCCTCCCATGAGCCGTAGAAAGTGCTAGGCATTGCTATTACTGAAGACTTACCCTCTTGCTCCCAGTAACACCATTTAGAGCTGCATTTGCCTGTTCATACAAGCAAGTATGTGCTTCTGTGGATGCACTTCATTTGATTGGAACACTATAGCAGGAAATGCACTCTGAACTCAGATGCCAGTATAAAAAATGAAACTGGAAAATACACATGCCAAAATTGACATTGCATAAAGAATTATCTCACACTAGATGCAATTTAATAATAACTTCTTTGCACAGGAACAAAACACCATTTTTAGTAACTTCAGCCACAATTTAAAGAAAAAAACCAGCACACCAATCTGTAAATTAACAGTAAATAATTTTGTCAGCTGTGTTTAAATGCTAAGTTTGGCTATACCTTTATAAAACTGTAAGAGTATTCCTTCCCTAAGAGATCCTCAAAAACATCTACTTTAGGCATTATATCCTATTCTACTGTGTATTTCTGTTACTATTTCTACTAGATGCAATGAGAGATGAGCCTAATCTCCCAAAAAAGATTTACTGCATGGCCAGTTGACTGCTAACATTCAGAATGGTCAATTATAGGGGCATCTAGGTTTAAAAGAAACTTAATTCATGTTTAAAGACAGTAGGTGAGGTAGCATTAATAAGACGGTCAGTTTCCAAAACAAAAATGTATTAATCCATATAACTTGAATTATTTAGCAGATGCTGAAAGTTGCTTCAAATTCCTCAGCATCGTGTGCTTCAGCATGTTCTCCTCTCTGTGCATCATGGGTATCATATGACCTAAAGCATATGGGTTCTTTCCAAGAAGTAAGAGATCTGATGAATTTCAAAATTTTAATCCTCTACAGCAGAATCTTGGTAGCATGCTGTGGTAGTACATTGCAGACAAACTTCAACAGTGATCCTTTCTTACCTGACCAGACGTTCTAAAGGTTTGAAGGCTCAAGGGACTGCTCCTGACTCAGATTCCACAAAGTAAACAGGTGAGATACTTGAAGCCCCAGAAAATAGCAAGGTACCTGACAACAGCTGAATATTCTATACACACAGATATATGGCTTCTTGGCAGAGCAGAAACAATCCAGCTCCTTTTCAGCTGCTGGTATAATACAGCACTGTAGTGCTGACAATAAACATTGCACTTTGCAATTCACTGGAAAAAGGCAACAACATACTTTGCTGTAAGAAAAGTCACTACAACTTCTAAGGGGTACAGCAGAGGGAAGATGAGAAGATTAATTTTCCTGGATTCTGAAGCACAGCCTAGGAGCTTCTCAACCTTGAGCTCAAGGATTCATTATTTTATGGAAAGCAGTACAAGAACTAAGCTCCTTTGTACATGTCCCATTCTGACATCTAAACAGTGACACAATTTCCACATGAAAGGATAATTTAGTCCAGTTGGTCTAATTTCACTTAACCTTGCTGAGAACAAACTGGAAAATCTGGCATATACACTGTGTCCCACAAGCTTGAAACATGGTTGTCACCTGAAGTGCAAGATACACTTGGAACTACCCTAGAATGTTGCTATAGTCTTGAAAATGCATTTTTGCCAGGCTAGACAGTGTGGAAAATATCTATTTCAATTAGTATCAACATAGGCATACCTTCTCTAATGACAGGAACCTTTCTGTATTACTGAAAGCATGTTTTATAATAAGGCTTCAGTCATCTCTTCAAAACAACATGCTAGATGGAAAGCTTAAGGTGCTTAATTCTGCCTTTCTTATAATAGCAGAATCTTAATATTCGTACTTCTGTGTTAAAAACTGGCATGTTGGTACAAATTACAGGCAATCATATTGGAGTTTTAGCTAGAAGTGCATCATGCATGTGTTCTGCCCATCCTTCCTCGATGTAATTAAAGAGAACTACTCATGAACCTTTATTAGAGCAGAACATGTATTAAGTGTATCAGGCAAGGGAGAAAAACTTTTGGGCCTTGTAGACACCATTCAACTTAGCAAGCCATAGCTGGTAGAGTTTATCAGAGAAGGCTATCTTCTTGTCTAGACCAACATATTTCTCAGAGTTAAAGATGAT